TCCTTAAACGCGTCCCGCTGCTCGTCAGCACCGGTAATACCCGTTAACGTATATCCGGGGATCGTTAGACGCGACGACGAGGCGGTACCGCGAGCGTTAAGACACGATTTGCGAACTTTTTGCGCGTCAAACTGGTCGTTGACGCTTTATTTTCTAACGTACCATCTCTCTATGTACCGAAATACTGAATACAGAACGACGAGACTATCGATTGTCGGCGATAAAATAAACTACAATGCAGAACGAGTTTTGTTTATTTGCGCAATATTAATTCATTGTCTTCGAAATTTTTCGAATACGATGTTGTTCTTTTTGCAACATTTCAAAAAGCAATTACTATTATTGAGTCAATATTCTTTGTTTAATACATTACATTTCATAATTCTGTTATTTATGATAAAGATTCGTATTGATTGATCATATAGAAAACTTTTGCACAATGCATGTGCTAATTTAACAGTTATTTAGACGAATGCACAGCAGATATGATTTATTTCTGTGATCAAATTATATACATTAGGTGTATATGTAAAGTAGAAATAATGAAATATTAATTTACACGCGGAAGAAATAAGATTTAAAATTTTCAAATATACTATGTTACAATAATTATAATGACAGATAATTAATAATTTTAAGTACTAATTACTTATGTTCGTTTTATGATATTCTGCAAATTCGTGACAATATGATGACTACATTACTAACAAGAAATTATCAAAATTATAAAGATAATATTATAATATTCTGCGAAAGCCAAAGGAGCTTCGTAGACGGTCTCAAATTCCTCTTGAGATGAACATAACTCGCATAACACAATATATATGCGGCATCATGATTAATCAACGTCCCTTCGTTAGGACGATTGTAAACTGACTGTGACCCTCCGCATTCCGAAATCATGAGAATTACGCAAGCATTTAGGCATTCTAATTTATTATAACAACATCGCATACGTCATGTGCTAAACACACCTCGTCTGTTTACTGATAAATAGCACAAATTTAGTAACACTGCGCAGTGTTCAATAATTAACTAGCAACATTTCTCATTTAAAATATCACCGATGCTAACACTCGATCTTTGTCATCTTACTTTCATAAATCATGTAGAATTGCGTAAATATATTTATGTGTGCAAATTACATTTTCTACTTTGTCAAAGAAACAAGTATACTAAACAATAAATACATTTATGAACTTCTAATTGTCCTTAAAAATGTTATTTAAATAAACTAAAGATCTTTATTCTTTTTATTTTAAAAAATTATATAGAATTCATGCATAGTATATTTACATGCGGAAATTACACTTTCTACTTTGTTAAAGAAACAAATATGCCAAACAAAAGGACGAGAATGTATTAATGAATTTTTAATTGCCCCTAAGAATGCCGATTAAATAAATTACTTGCATCGTTATATAAAGCAACATTTCTCATAATACGAGCGCTATATGCAACGAACATCCAGTCAGTGGTTTCTTGCGCCCTCGTCAGTTTGCACATATTAGCGTGGCTTTTGTCCCCTGCGGTTGGTTGAATACACCAACGAGATAGACATGCTGCGAATGGGCGGGCAAGCTGCTTTGATACTCTAACAAGCGCGAACAGCGCTTCTGATTTATGTGCATTATACCTATCTACATAATGTTAACTCTTTGTGCTCTAACAAGATAAAATTACGGTGAAAAAATATACTTGACACTCTTGTAATGTCTCTTTGTATAATTAGTAAGAATGCAGAAATTTAATATTAAGTACAATGTGTGTAGTGATAAATATTATAATAATAATAATAATAATAATTACGTAGTAATAATTTTATTGAGTGCATATTACTAGTTTATCGAATTTTTCAAGTTCATTGAATTTAAATGGAAATACGATTGTATTTCACAAATAGCCAAGTAATACAGTTATTACAAAATCTAATTTAAAGAAAGTTAAAATCAAAACATAAAAACCACCATAAATTATGGAAAATAAGATAGAATATAGAAATCAACGATGAGTCCGAAAGAGATAAAAAAAGTCTTATATCTGATAATGAATTGAAATATATGTATATATTTCATTGTAGTAAAAAGAGAGAACGGTACAATATTTTAAATGGTAATGTAAAGAAAAGAAAAATTTTGAAACTGAATGGGTGTAGAATGAGAATAAAATTCGGATTTAAATTGCAAAAGATTGCAACTATAATTAATTCGTTATAATTGTAGCGCATGTAACATTTATATCGCAAAAACACAGAATGTAATGAATGAATAATTTTAAATCGTATTGCAAACGTACGCATCGATATTTTTGTAAATAATGTAATAATTATTCGCATCAATGCATCCAAGTAATTTCCAAGAGCTATCTACACGTCAAAGATTAATCTGGGATAACTTTCGTCGTTGGTGTTGCATCACACCATTATATACTCCACCCTCGACAAGGGTAACACAATTATATCTTAATTACACTACGCGTTCCCAAGAAAAGCCAGTTGATCGCTAAACTACTACTGCTAACCTCGTTTCCATAATACCATAGTTATACACACCGCGCAAGCATTAATCTCCTTTGTGCAGCAAAATAACAGCAACTGATATCAGTTTCAGATATATGCATATGTGAAGTAACAACAATTAATATATACATATCAATCTTCTAAACGTGAATTAGACAAATCTTCTCATCACAAGTACCTTTTGTTGTGTGCGTAGTAAATGCAAATAATATGAAAAAAATACAGTGAGAAAGATTTCAAAGAAATCCGTGGAGAAATTTTTACGCAAGTTTGCTATTAAGAATTTTATTTCATAAAAAGGAACTTTATACAATAATATTTTCTGTACTATAAGAGACACGATTTCTCGTCATCACTTAGAAGAAATTGTGTATCTACGATTTTGTCAAATGCCATCGCTTTACGCGATACAAAGCGACTTCGGTACAAGCTAAACTTGAATATCTACGGAGATTTTGTATGTTAGAAGGTGACAATAATGTGCTACCGATAGCATGAAAGTGGAACCTGTGCATCCTGTTCGAAAACCGATAAACCGGTAGGTGAAACTATCGCCTCTTTCTCGCCGTCTGCTGTTAAAGGCTCGGCACCTCCATACCGTTCTTAACTCCCTTTCCACTCTTTCTTCTCGCTTAGCTTTTTCACCTACGGTGCGGCACAATGTCTATTTACCATAAAATAGAGTTTCCAGCTCTCTAGACTTGCATTTGCCGCCGCGCCGTTTATTTCTTCCCCTTCTTATCGCGCCGCGGGCGACATACGGAAAGAATTCGGGAAATTCGCAATGGATGAAATCTCGAGTACATCTGACATTAGCTACACGGCAATTGAACGGACATTTTCGAAACCACTTAGAAAATCGCGTTGAAATTTTCTTATTTCTTCACCGTCATCATTTTTTTTATAAGATTGTAATAAAAATATTTTTAACAATAAGATAGAAAACAAGACCGTTTATGTTAAATAACATTACTTTAAAATTCGAAGCGCCACTACGGTCTAAGTGTTAAGATGTTCAACTAATATATATATGTTCAAATAAATGAATTAATTTCAGATATAATAATTACGTGCGATATGGTTGTCGGCTTTCAACGCAATCAATCTGAAATATTAATAATCCCCCAAAATTTCCCAAATTAATCTTAAAAAACTGTAATAAACTTATTGCGAAAAATATTGCCGCGAAAAATATTTTTTTTTCACTTAAGGATGTATCAGATGTACAGTTTTTCCCAAAAAAAATTAGAAATTTACACTTTCCGGATAAAAATGAATATTTATACATATAAAACTCTTCAATGCGTAAGGTCATGTTTATAAACATAATTCATGTAATAATATCAACACGATTTTATAGTTTAAATGAAAATTTTTTTTATAATTATTTTTTAAAACATCATGTCTACTTCTTATTGAAGAATTTTTTTATCCTGATTCTAAATCGCCGGCAATCTTTTTTGTGTTAATTTCAAATACAATATAGAAAAATATTTATGATTGTTTCATTTTATTAAAAAATACGTACATTCTTAATTATCTTTCATTATTTTTTTGAGTTTACTTTACAAATATATTCGCGGATTCTCTTTGCGCTTATTAAATTATGAAATTAAATTAACGTGAATTGTTATTTGAAAAAAATATGTATTTTTTAATATCGCGCTTGTCTTTTGTAAATTCAATCTTATTATTCGCGTTTATGAAAAGTTTATAAATAATTATAAATTTATATCTGCCTTTTTCATTATATAAAGAAAATTATATATATTTCTGAAAATGACACAAATGTATTTTGAATTATTTCATAATTTTTTAATATTGTAATAATTTAGTAATAAATATTTATAAGGAGTCTACCTATATCTTATCATCATTGATTGTAAAAAATTATATATACAAATAAAATTCTAGGTATGTATATATCCATTCGGAAATTTAGAAAAACTTGTACGCAATCGCGAAAAAGTTTCGCATTTGAAACTACGTAAGGAGAAAAATTTTTCGAACTTAGAAAGTGCGATTTGGATCAATATTGCAATCTTGTATCAAGACCCGTAAATATTCTCTCTTAGAAATCTGGACGGCGATAAACGCGTTACTTTAGAGGAATGAAAAAAAAAAAGCATATAGTTTTCTTCGACTTTTCGCGTTCAGAGCAGTTACGATCATCGAGTAAACTATAAATCCGCATACTACGTTAAATATCGTACAGAAAGTTTAGTTTTCACGGTGAAACTCTCGCGTTTCTTTTGAGAAAAACAAATCCATTCACCAAATTTTACGTAACGTAATATTTTATTATCATTGGAATTTGAAATTGAACTGATAAAGTCTCTTTTCTAATAAAGGAATATTTATCAGCTTCTGTAGAAGAGAATAAAGGAAACGGAAATAATATTAATGTACAAAAATGATTTCTATTTTAAATAAATGAACACAACTATATTAGTTTATAATTCATATGTACATTTTTTTTCAGCGTCACGACACGCAATGCTGATGTCGTTCGTGCATGGCACAAAAAGGAAAGTTTCCATTTTCGAGTTCAAGCCTTGCGAGGGGCGTGTAATTCGTCGTGTAAGCACATCGAGAAGGTAAGTCGACCAAACACGAACAGATCCCCAATATACGCGACAGTCACGCTGAACGTGAATTGGGACACGATGTTTTCTCTAACCTCGGTCCCAGAGCCTCGAAAATAGAAAAGAATATATTTAGTCACGTATTTACAACGAAAGGTTGAATAGCTAGTTCATGGGGTGGCGATGGAAGGCCCCGATCTCGCTACCAAATTCGCAACCGTGCGCGACAGTCGTTGTTTATTTGTCTTTAGGGGATGAACAGGAGATGTTTCGAAACGGAGCGGAACAGGTTTCACTTACTGCAACTTCGTCGACAGAGATAAAATTGCACAAAACGATCACTAAAATGCGCGCAATATTTGTGGAGAGCGAAAAGGCGTTCGCACAAGTTTACGAGAATATTTCGCGGATATTGAAAACAAAGTACACCTTAGTTTCGTGATTTTATATACCTACGCGTCAACTTAAGATTTGTCGCTAATACAGCACGAGTATACACGAACCTCGAGAAAAGACAAATGTCGTTACTATTAATCTAATGATACGAATCGTTTTGAAATAAAGCTTCTCACCTTATTTGAAACGCAGTATCTTAATCTTATATCCTCTCAGAAATCACGCGATATAAGCCAGGCGGTGACTTTCATTCTGAAGATAGAAGAAGGTGTGGCCGGAAGATTCAGATAGACGCATTCTCGCTAAGAGATATATAGAAGAAGAGGCGACACAGTGTATATCGTATATAAAGCGGATCATCGGGGCTAGCGTTGCACAAACTCCATCGAGAGGACACTGAACGAAGCTTTCAATTTGCCGTTACAAGGGATTACGCCCACGTTCGTGCCCCATTTACAATTCACCGGTAGCGCGTTGAAAATAAATTGCGACTACGGTTGAAGGAAATATCTACCGATATCGGTAAAAGGCGAAATAAAGGGAAATAGTATTAAATTTTAAAATGTTTGTTGCCACACGAGGAATTCATCTCACGTAATAAATCACGAAAGGATTGCTGCATTTATCGCGCCTTGACGTATTTAATAATAACTTTCCCAGAATTGCAAGTTATAACATAATAATAAATAAAAGTACAGTGGAGAAAACGTATTAATTAGAAAAAAATGTATGTTATAATTGGTTTTTTTGTTATAGAGAATCAATTCACCATCATAGATGTCATATATGATAACAATCTTATATAATTACGTTTCTGATTACGCATAAATAATAAAAAAAAAGACATTGTGCTTCAAAATATAAATTTTAGATATAGAATTGCGTGTTAAGTTGTTATCAAACCAAATAAGATAACATTAATCATGCAATATATAGTTTTGCGAAAATAATATAAATTATATTTACAATGTTAAAAATGAAAGATAAATTGAAACTTGGTAACAATCACATAGACGAAATGCGACCTATAAGCGCCATCAGACGTGTACGATTAATCGCGCCTAAAAAAAAAATTCCACTAATCGTAAAATTGAATTTGTGCTAGTCAGCATCAACTCAAAACGAACTAACAGCACGCGAGATTGCATTTACGGTCGTTCGAAAGCGGTCGCTACCACATTGGTAGAAATTTCGGTTAGAATTTCGATTGTGCGGCCAAATAGTTTGAATTCGAACGGCGCTATTATGTACATGCTTCCAGCTGCTAAACGCGCGCGAATACCAGCCATAAAGTCTAACTCGAAACAGTAAACAGGACCAAGCTTCTTATGAGCATAAATTCAGCTGCATTACGCATTAAACAAAGTGAAATAGTTTGGCATCGAATATTCATCCAAAGCGATACATACAATTTGCTGAAGCACGACTGCTCGTTGTTACATATATTTTTTTTACATTTTCACAAAATGAATAAACGTCGATAAATGCTGAATTCGTTTCTTTTAAAAACCATTTATCGCAAAGTTTAAAATGAAAATTTTAATCTTTTATAATATAATTTTCGCCCAATTCCCGTTTCATTATTGTAATAAATCAAATTTCTTCATAATAAAATTTTCAAAGAATCCGAAATAGTTTGCCATAACTATTTCGTACTTTGATTCGAATCTCATAGATATGTCGAGAGACGTGAGCTTGGAAGACTTAGCATCTTTGATAAGATATTTTGTATACTGAAAAAAAATATATACTAAATTTTAATAAATCATTTATTTAAATAATACTAATTAAATATAATATTTAGATATAAAGATATATTTATTTGATACAAGAACCATTAATTTAATTTAACAATCATTTCTTTATTCAGTAAATATTTATTTACTGTAAGTAAATATTTGGCACTATTCAAATAAATATTTCTTAAAATTTAATACACTTTTCCTCAATGTACTGTTCGAAGAAGCTCTAATTCGTGTATTCGGTCAACGCATGGACTATTTTGATATTGGTAGAACACCATATTTCCAATATATATGAGAGTGCGATTCAGTCTTCGAGTACGTATCGGCATTGTGCTAGTCTATGTATGCACAATACATTCCTTCAGCTCATCAACTGTCCCACTCCTCACACTGCTCTAGAATACGCTCTCGCAGTCTCCCCCCTCCCCTCTCTCTCTCTCTCTCTCTCTCATCGTTCTCTCTTCCTCATCGTTCTCTCTTCTTTGCACGAATTTCGTTCGAACATAGGAGCCAGCGAACGATGTAATAGTGAGACTATCTATATTTGGTCTATCGAGTAGATCGGGGTGTTGATGGTGGTAAGGAAACGTTCGTGGAGGCGAGAGCCGTGTGACGGTAAGTGTACACGCGAACACAGTCCGGACCGTTGGCGTGAATTAACTGGGTGCAGCTGCAACTTGCACGCCCATCCGCCCCGTTTTAGCTCTACCGGCGACAGAAGGAGTAAAAGCAAGAGGGAGGTTGTGAGTGATCAAGGACGTGGCATGCTAAAAACGATCGCGCGCCCCCAGCGCGATATAATTCCTTCGGGCCGCAATGTGAGACTCGGTAATGAGTTGTTATTCGGTACGTAAGGCTTTACACACCAAGAGAGCGGCAGCTTAGCTCCTTTAACGACCATCATAAGTTCCCTCAGAATCACGGTAAAGGATGGAGAGAAAATATTGCCGCTGGTTATAACTTATTTAGCTCGTTATTTGCAGCAACACAAGATTTATAATGGCCAGTTACGCGTGCGATAAGCTATAAATACGTTTAAGAGTGTAACGAAACTCTCACATTATGCTAATGAGTTGTGCTCGTGAAGGCGATTTTATTGAATAATGACAACTTTCCTCCTATAATCATATTTTAGGTAATTGAATTCATTTATTTTGCAATAAATTTATATATGATATATATAAATTGTATATGTATGTATGTATGTATGTATATATATATATATATATATATATATATATATATACATGTATATCATTATACAAGAATAAAATGCTTAATAAAATATAAATACATAGAATCATGTACTCAACACGTACAAAACCATGGAGCTGAATTAAAATAAAACATAAAATCGCAACATTATCGAATACAGTCACGATCGATCATGGTAGTCCGTTATGAAGCGCATGAAAGCATTCTGACTATAATGTTTGTAATTAGACGATGTTAAGGTGCGGAACGAACGGACAATTTGCGTTGGGTTGACCAGAAATTCGGCAAGTAAGTTATCGACTCGTAGATTATCGGGCTGACGTGCCCCGCATGCCGAGAAGTCTCCGACTTACCCCACTCGGGTTATTGGACATTCCTTATCGCTCTCACGTCCGTTGCAAATTCTGGAGCTGCGCGGCCTTAAGCCACTGATTGCCCGATTAATTTCATGATATGTTTTGCTCAATTTTTTTTATTTTCATAACGTAAAAGAAATCATTATTTTATGAACAATTTGGTTTTCGCAATGTATATTTTGTCATTCTCTCTTGAACAAAGACTGTGAAGAGCTCTCTCTCTCTCTCTCTCTCTCTCTCTCTCTCTCTCTCTTTGCAAAGGATAATTCAAATCATTTTAGAAAATGATGTATAAAGCTATTAAATCTATCTATTTTTAATTCAATTTGTTTGTATAATTTTATAAGAAAGAAAAATAAGTTACATTTAAAAAATTATAAAGACTTAAGAATACAATATATTAGCAAATATAATTTAGATAGTGTAGAATAAAGCGCTTATCGTTTAGACGACTTGAAACACTAGGACTATTTATGTATTAAGACGGATTATTCGATGTTTGATGACAAGCGATTTGTTGCGATATTGTTGTTGGAACGAGAGTCAGTCGCTCATGAGACGTGGTACAATATACTTCTCAGCTCTCTACGTTGGATTTCCATTACAACATATCCTCTCTTCCTACACAATAAGAATTCTGAAAGATACGCTAAAAAATTCTGTCTTCTTTAAAATAAAAAAAAATACATATAACATAATTATTTAATAGTATTATCAAAATGGATTCACACGCAGTACATATAATTTGAAACAACGCGCGAAGCTACGCACCATGCGAAATTTCACGTCCGAAAGATTGTTGAATCTATCGAGACATTGATTCTCCTGGAGAGATGTAGGAGAGGTGGATTTCTCAAAGTCGTAACACCGCGGGGAGTTCCAGAGAGCCTTTCGAAGTCTCAAGACGCACGTATCGTCCGAAACGCGACGGAAAAGCTTCGAGGCTTACACCTTTTCTTGCCAACGGCAAGATTTTTCTTTCAGGCCAATGACACAAGGCCAATGCAATTTCGCCAAATTGTTTTCTGCACAATTTCGCAGATTGTACGAAAGACGAAGTAATATAGAAGTAACGATCCATCAAAGGAAATCCTCTTATTGAACACGTACCCTTCCGTTTATCCAAACACGTCGGAGAACATTAACGCTACGACACTTCTCCCTAATACCGTTTATCGAATACGAGAGTCTAATTACCAAAAGAGGTCGGTACCGATGTTACGGATAAGCGATTATGAGCCGAGACAAAGAGATCGCGAAGTGGCTGCCACACACAGGGACAGCTTTTGTCCGCGCAGCC